GGTTTGTTAGCTCTCATTAGCTCCAACTAACACTAACACAATCCTTAATCAACATTAATGGCAGTCACCTAGCTTAAACACCACAATTTATGGCACTTTAAGGTATAATTTCATCTATAATTGAGAGCCTAATCTCATGGATGCATAAAACTACTATATCTAGGTTTAGATAACTCAAGCAACTCCCATTAGTCTTATTTAGACCAACGGATTTGGAGCCATAGCTTTAGGTTCGAAAATCATCATCTTCCAACCTCAAATCCCATTTCCAAAACTTGTAGAGAGAAGAAGAGATAAGAAGACATACCTAAGTGAAATCGAGCTCCAATCACCTCAAAAATGCTCAAAGTTGATGCCCTAACAGAGAAATCACTCTCTTTGTTGCCTTTCCTCTGTCTTGTGGTGTTTTTTCTCTATTTATGTGTTCTTAAAAAGACTAGTTCTGAAAATTATGTTGCAGTGTAAATTTTTATGCTACTGCAAATTGCACAGTGTGTTAAAAATTTAATTTTTCCTTACAATTTGAGTTTGGGAGACTTAATTTACTTTCAAAACTAATCAAAAAGCTAAAACTAAACCCAATAGCTGTCTCTAATTATTTTCAAATCCATTTATATATAAATTTACAAATTTTTCCTTCATTAACTTAATTGATTAAGGAGATAATTTTTGGGATGTTACACATAGCCGGTTACTTCTTTATTTAATTAATGTATCTCTGTTTCCCTGCATTTATATTAATTTTCTTAATTTTGCATTCTCACATCTAGTGTATTATAGTAAGGGAGCCTGGATATCTAGTGTTTGATTAGAAGTTAAGTTTTTTCATCCTTTTAAGACCTTACGTCTCTAACATGTCTTGTGACACTCTCCTTTTTTCACCGAACAATATGCTTTCAATTTTTATCATTTGCTTTACTCTAATATGTATATTTAATATTAATGATGATAATTATACAGCCACATTATGTATAAAATAATATGAATAAAGATCTCTACTACAAGTTATACTGTCGGGAAAAATTTTCCTATGATATTATCTATTTAAAGGTATTGTTGTATAAGATGCCTGGCTACTTGAATTTACTAACACTTTGCATTTATAGAATTGCAGTTTCGTAAAAGAGACACGTGTCATGAATGTACGGTCTTTAAACAGAATCCTATGTAGCTTGACAGAATTACACAATTCGTAAAAGGAACACGTGGCATGAATACAGAGCCTGATAGTTGTATATATAATGATAATGATAACTGCGGTAGCCCTTCCCCCCACCTTTTATTTGTTTTAACTTACTTCCATGCACACAACCATTTCTCCAAGTAAAAACAAGCTTTAATATATTTAATAATTAATAATAGAGGTTCAAATATACATGTCACGGGTGGGATTTAAATAATCCCCTCTCAATGCATTATTTTATATCTAATTTCATCTATCTATTTAATTATTTATTTAATTTAATAGAGTTAGATTGCTAATTATAATTTATGACTTTAAGATAAATATATAATTCATATAATAATTATCATAAATAAGTATAATGAATTATTTTAAAAATATTTAAGCGATGAAGTGAATAATATGTTTATTTTAATGTCATAATTAATAATCTTGCACCATTAAATCAATAAAATAATTAAGTGGGTAGATGAGATTGCATATAAAAAATAGAAAAAATGACAATAAAATTCTTTTGAAATATATAAATGACATTTTGATATGTCAAAATGCCATAATTCTCCTAAAGTCTTTAAAAAACTTTTTTGTCATTAAAGAATTAATTTAAATGATTAAATTGGCCTTTATTCAAATATCAATTACCATTCACAAGTTTTTTTATAAGATTTACAATATTTTTTTCTTAAAGTCGCAAGAATTTAACAACAATTTATAAATTTATATTTGAAATCCTGATATTTCTTAAGTGTTGCAAATATTAATTTCCATTCATAAATTTAATTGTAAAATTCACAATTTTTTTAAAAATTAAAAAAATTTAACAGCAATTTGCAAGTTTACATTTAAAATTTTGATATTCCTCTAGTGATACATATATCAATTATTATTCATAAGTTTTGTTTTAAAATTCATAATTTTTCTTTTTAAAATAGTAAGAATTCAACAGCAATTCACAAGTTCGTATTTGAAATTTTAATATTTCTTAAGTGTTGCAAATGGCAATTACTATTCACAAATTTTATTTTAATATTCACAAATTTTTTCTTAAAATTACAAGAATGGAACAATAATTTATAAATTTACATTTGAAATTCTGAACTAATGATAATTTGATCATTTACATTAATTTCTTAATAATAAAAAAGTCTATAGGAATTTTAGGAGAATTATGACATTTTGAGAAATTAAAATATTATTTATATAATTTAAAATTTTTTTATTGTTATTGTTTTTAAAAAATATATTGGGAGATGTAAAAATGCATTAAAGAAAGATACAGAGAGGATCCAAAGAAAACAATAATTAAAAGTCCATAAAAGGCCAACTCTGAGCCAATGTCACATTATTAAAAACAAACAACAACAACAACAACGTCATCTGAGCACTCGAAACTGTCGGCGGAAAACACGTTGCTGCTGTTTCCAATTAGAAGTAGGAGAGAAATATAGTACACAATGTGTCTTTTTTCTTCCTTTCTTAATCATCTATATATCATTTGTTAAATTTTTGAAAAAATAATACATAGATAAATTTCATCAAAATAAGTTGTTTTATTTTTTATAGGTATCTTGATGATAATTCTATTCAAAACATGGTCAAATATTAAATATAAATATTTTTTTTAATAATGATTCACACTTTGGTTCAATATATTATAAAGGACCAGCCTTTTTGTGAGACTCAAAAGAATACCACAAAATAAAATAATTACCTTAATGTTCCCCAGGACTTATTTTACTTTTTATGAAATTACATTTTTGATCCCAGCAAAATAATATAAAGCATAGTTATTTTTTAGGTGGGGAACCATAGCCAATAATCATACTTACCCACCTATATTTACACACACTGTATTAATAAGTACACTTCCTATATCTTAGTTCAACTTTGTGATTAACAACTTTAATTTAGATATTAATAATATAGCTGGTCATAATTTTAGTTTAGGTATGTAATAGTAACTGTACTTCTCATATTAACATTTTTACTTTTGTTATTAACAATTTCAGTTTAGATTAGAAATGTAATTTTACAAAAAAAAGTTATGTTAGATAATTAATCCCCTAGGATTTCAGAATAATAATCCCATTTTGTAGTAATATCTTGTCATTCATTTCAATGGGATTTATTTATTATTCTGAAAAATGCAAGATCCGTTTCATTGCCATTTACTCTTTTTTTTTGGTTATATAAATAATAAATAATTCAGCCTAACAATCTTTTGTGGGTTATTCACTAGCTCGATAGTTTCAATCAATCATAAATATATATATATATATATATAATTTGCGTATGCATATAACAATATACTCTCTCCGTTAAAAAATATAAGTTATTTTTAAGGAGTTAGATATTAAAATATGTAAAGTTTTTTAATCTTTTGAGGTATAATTATTATCTTTTTTCAAAAGTGCCTTATTGATAATAACTTTATATTTATTATAGAGTATTTAATAGGGGTAAATATGAAAAGATAGGAGTTTGAAAATAAGTAATTACTTTATTGGGATGAGATTCAGTTAAAAATGCCTTACATCTTTGAATGGAAGGAGTATATAGTCCCTTTACATTTTATAAGATATATTTTGTTAATAATTTTAATGTTCCTATTATGTTTAAACAAAAATAATAATTGATTAATTAAATTTTCTTTTTAAAGTTCTTTCATTATTTTATTCCTCAAATATTTTTTTATTTCTTTTCGTTGTGAAATTAAAAAAGTTTTATTCTAAAAGATAATATTTTTATTTGAAAAAATTAACATTTTAAACTGTATTTAATTAATTTTATTACTTTATTTATTATTTTATAAAAAATTATATAATATGGGATGAATCCTCCCTCCCATAAAAAATATAAAGAATTTTTTGTAATTTGTAAGTTAAAAGATTTAAGACATTTAATATTCTAAAAATGTAATTAATAGGATTTTTGAAAAAATATTTTTAGTAAATAAATTATTTTGAATTTATTTTTAAATATAATAATCAACTAAACAAGAGCAAGTATTGAAAGATAACATTGATTTAATGACATGAAGCTCCAATCAAAGTTAACATGTTTAACCATGATGGAAAAAGATTTGAAACATGTTGGAGACCTTCTGAGCCAAGTTAGATTCATCTTGATGTTGATGGAACTATTAATTTCAATGAAGTTTCATTCTGTGGCGGAATCATGCGTGACGATAAAGGTAACTGAATCAAGGGTTTTTCTAAATACCTTTGCTATCACTCCAGCACCATGGCTAAACTTTTAGCCATTCTTGAAGGACTTTAGCTTTGTTAAAATATGTGGGTTTCTAATATTAACATACATTCTGACTCAATGAAAGTCTTTTCACTCATTCAACATAATCTTTTTCACAATCATGCTCTCTCTGGAACTATCAATAAAATTAAAGAATTTATCATGAGGGATTAAATTATAACTTTCGACCACATGTTTAAGGAAGCGAACAATTGCGCCAACTTTCTTGCTCACTAGACCTCTCAAGATAATTTAGATCTAGTTATTTTTAATCATCCACCATCATGATACAGATCCTAACTGAAATTTAATATGATTTGATTTGTACTCTTTTCTCACACCAGTTTTCTATGGCCTTGTATTAAAAAAGAAAAACATCCAATAGCTCTCCGTACAATTTTGAACGAAATGAGTATTTTGGATTTGTATTATTATTATTATTATTATTATTATTATTATTTTGTTTTTTGGCTTTCTCCATGTTTTTTTTTTTGACCAAAGCTTAACCATGTTTAAAAAATTGAAATCCGGCGCCTGCTGCTCTCCTGGGATCGGAGTATGATATGAAGCACTTCTCTCTCAGGCTCTGAATAATCTCAATCGCACAGTTCTTTCTCAATTGAGTCATAATTTGAAGATTTCTCGAATCTGGTGACTCTTTTTCCCACTCTCTGTCTATGTTTGTCTGCCCCTCGCGATTCATGTTTTCGTTGTACGGACCATCCTCTCTTGAAATCAACTAGATCTAGGGTTAAACGCGCTAGATTCTTCAAATCTTGCTTTTCCATCTTCAACTAACTTGACATTTTTTATTTTCTCCTTTCATCTAGGTTTCTGCTTTGGCATTGTAGGATTGAGCTGCTTCGTTGTGTTTTATTATTTGAAACTTCCGATAGTTATGCCTGAATGAGGTTAGTATGGGCAGCTTCACCATTGTGTTAAATTTAAATCATTCAGGTCTTTTCTTCCCTTGTTTATATGTGTTTTGAGTTTTCGAGAATGTTTTGTTGATTCGAAATGAGTAGATCCAGGTAGGCCTGTTCACAGAGCATAGTGAAGATGAGTGAAGGTCAGAAATTCCAATTTGGAACCATTGGAGCCCTGAGTTTGTCTGTGGTGTCCTCTGTTTCCATAGTAATCTGCAACAAGGCACTTATCAGCACACTGGGTTTTACCTTTGGTGAGCGAATTTTACATTTATGATGTTGACAGGATAATGGGATGCTGATATCTGTTATACAATACTTGCGATGTACCTGTCAAATTTCATTCAAAATATCTGTGCTTATGACTTTATAATGTGAAATGATAAACTGTGTCATTGCCCTGCTAAAATGATGTGGAATTCGATGGTAACTTTGCTTGTTGATCTGGTAAATGGCAATGTATTTTGAGGGATCCTTTATCATGTTAAACGATGCATCATTCAATCTTTATGGGGCAGTGATGATAGGATATAAACACTCACGATATTGACTTCCATCACCCATTGTAGTTTCAAATTTATTGCTTTTTTTTTTTTTTTTGGTTTTTATTGGCAACTGATATGCTTAATTTTGTTTATGCTATTTAGCTACTACTTTGACAAGCTGGCATCTTCTTGTGACGTTCTGTTCTCTTCATATGGCATTATGGATAAAGTTGTTTGAACACAAGCCTTTTGATGCAAGAGCTGTGATGGGATTTGGGATACTGAATGGGATTTCCATTGGCCTTCTGAATCTTAGTTTGGGTTTCAATTCTGTTGGTTTCTATCAGGTATAATTATTGATCACTGGCAACATATATGTTCAGGGTTCAGACGGATGTTTTTAATCATGTTCTGCATTGATCTTAGTTTTCAGAAACCAGTATTTATAGAGCTTAACTGAGATATACTATCATTGAGTAGGATGCATGAGGATCTTTATTTTGGGACACTTAGCCTTTTAAAATATTTTTTTGCTTTCAAAACCAAAAGGAAAAATACACTCCTACTACTCCTTGACAAGACATATTTATAAGTTTATTACTTCGGCATCTTTTTCATGTAGTAAAGGAGTGGAAATAAGAAATAAGAATGCTGACATTGTAAGCCTTATATATCAGTTGCAGAGTCAAAAATTTATGTCTTGTCGAAGCTGTCTAGTATTTTTGCTATTGCCTTCTTGTGCAATTCTTTTTCAAGAATGTGAGTTTACTGTTTCAACACTTTGGTTTGTTTGTTTCAAATATATTTTGATCTCTCTGTTTTTTTTTTTTTGCAAGTATATATGGATCCTATACTAAATCCTGAACATTTCTTTACCTCTTTCTCTTTCTACTTTTATTTATTAGATGACAAAATTGGCCATCATCCCATGCACTGTTCTTTTGGAGACTCTTTTCTTCAGGAAAGTGTTCAGGTAAATTTTGATTGTAATCTTTGCCCTAATTAATGAAATTCCTATCTTTATCCATTTTCTTTTAAGTTATGAATTGCTTTTTGCCTATATTCAAGTAAAGCTTTAATATCAGCATCAGTAGATTGGTTGGACATGATAATATCGGAGCACTTATTGCTTCTAGTGAAAAGGGATCACATGGAAAATTCCTTTGATAACATTAGTATTCAAAGTAAATAATTGGCATTGTTCTAAATCCACATCTGGATAAAGTAATAAACATGAATTTGGCGGTTATCTAAGTAAGTGGCATTATTTTATGTATATGATGTTTCCTTAACTGCATCTTAATCCATCAACTTACTATTTAGTATTAGCTCTTCGTCTTCCAAAATATGCATCATAAGTCTAACCACCAAGACATTATTCGCTAAAAGGACTCTGGTGCATTATCTAGATGGAGCAAAATGTCAAAACACAATCACACAAGTGTAGTCTGTTAACATCACATCGGCACTAAAAACAAAATAAAAGATCCTCATTAATCAAATCAAGTATATCTCACAGTGGGATCTACAAGAATATTGAATGGGAAGCTTGAAAGAATAAGTTAGGATACCGATGGGTACTTAAGTGGGATAGAGAAACCTATCCCAAAAGCTAGCTGTTGAAGTGGGAGAATCAACCTACTTATATACGTCATTGAGCATCCCTTACTATTCAATGTGGGTCTTAGTATCCTATATTATCAAGTCTCCATCAATTGGCCCCCCATGGAAAGCCAACATCCCGATGGCTGCACTCCATAGCATTTAACTCGGTCTCCTTCTAGTCAGAACCCTCTGTAGTAGCCCTCTCTAGAACTGCCAAGAACTAGGCTTTGATACCAATTGATGGGTACTTAATTGGGATGGGGAATCCTACCCCAAAAGCTAGCCGTTGAAGTGGGAGAATCAACCCACTTATATATCCTATTGAGCATCCCATAGTACTCAATGCGGGAATTGGTATCCCATACTACCAAGTCTCCATCAGATAACAAAAGTATTTAACTCATTTGATTCTGATGATTGCATATGTCATCTTGTCATCTTGGAGCATATGTAGTTAGTCTTGACTTGTGAATACCATTAGCCTTTTTTGAGATGATGAAGGAGCCCAAGAAAAATCCTCCTCTTTCAAGGTTGGCAGCTTTGTCCTTGTCAGTGGCCTTACTCTCTTTGATTCTGTGAGACACATCCTAAATAAGTTGTATGTAGGTTTGGAATTTGGACGTATGTTGGCTGTCCTGATGAATCAATTCTGTACATCTGGATTCTACACATGAACTTTAAAACCATCCATATATGAGCTTAAGAATTTATTGCCTCCTGTAAATCATTTGCTTCATTGCTCATAGACATGAAGTTTGATTGGTGGTTAATATAATGGTTCCTGAGGTTGTGCATTAGTCTATGCATTCTAAATACAATTTGGTGAATTTGCATCTCTCTATCCTTTTCAGTTGGCTTCTCTGATTAGATTATGTACTTCACAGATAATATGTCCGTAGTCTGTGCCAGGCTGTCATATTGAAGTCTTTCACGAAAGCTGAGGAAATTCTTTTTCTTCATGTCTGATTTTCTGTGTATATATGTAGATTTTCTACCATCGTTGCTATCAGTTTTTTGTACTTTTTTTCATCACTTTGATCATTTTTTTAATTCATTATCCGGTTACAATTGTGTACCAATATATCTTCTGATATTGCAGTAGGAGCATCCAGTTTTCACTCATCATCCTTCTTCTTGGTGTTGGGATTGCTACGGTGACGGATCTCCAGCTCAATCTCTTGGGTTCTATATTATCTTTGCTTGCAATTGTCACAACTTGCATTGCTCAGATTGTATCCTAAGCTCCATTTGTCTTTGCAGGATTACCAGTAACCTTTGATTTTTTATGTTCCATACTACGTACATTTAGGATAGAAAATATTCAAATTGAGAACATGCTAATCAGTGTGCACACGTGTGATTTATGCTGCGTAGGTTCCCTTTGACTTGTGCATTTTTGTTTCGCATGTGCCTGATTTTGTAATTTCTACTTGTTTCTTCTTGTTGGTAAGAACCTTAACCATTTATTATTAGATGACCAATACCATTCAGAAAAAGTTCAAGGTTTCGTCAACCCAACTTTTGTATCAATCATGCCCGTATCAGGCAATGACTTTGTTCATCACTGGTCCTTTTCTAGATTGGCTCTTGACCAACCAAAATGTTTTTGCTTTCAATTATACCCCTCAAGTACTGGTGAGTTGGAAACCTTCACCTGTTCTTTCTTACAGAATTATATCATCTTGTAACCATTATTATGTCTCTCTTGCAGTTCTTCATCGTGCTGTCTTGCCTGATCTCTGTTTCTGTAAACTTCAGTACATTTTTGGTTATTGGAAAAACATCAGCCGTCACATACCAAGTCCTAGGGCATTTAAAAACTTGCCTGGTTTTAACCTTCGGATATGTCCTGCTTCATGACCCATTCAGCTGGCACAACATTTTGGGCATCCTGATTGCTGTGATTGGGATGGTTCTGTATTCCTATTACTGCACCCTTGAGGGTCAGCAGAAAGCAAGCGAGGCATCGGCACAATTGTCTCAGGTAGTTTAGACTATTTTATTTACCTGCCTTTTGTACTTGGCATGCTTTTATTTTCCAATTTGGATTCGGTGCACTTCTTTAGAGTATTGCATTTTGTGCGCTTCGTTTTTTTGTCACTCACTCCTTTTTCAAGTACAAGTCACTAATGTCTATCTCACAGGTATTAAGAAAAGTGGTTAAAGGTAGTATAACTAATTGAATTTGTACTGAAACAATTATTTCCATTGTACATTGTTTCGTTTTTGTTGTTGAACAATTTAAGGGGGTATTTAAGGAAAAATACATTTAATGATCCAGACAACATAGAAAAGTGACATTTATTTTTGAATTGACAAAATTCTCCAATAAATAACTTATATCTTCTTTTTGCTTGCTTATATCCTACTGGAGACATTTCCATTTGAAACACGATTAGGTGCTAAATGTAGGCATATCTTTTAATAGGGTTTTGAACCTTGATTTGTCACATTACGAGGCACTCGCATCTTTTGCTAGTTCTAGCCCCCCATTGGTGACTAAAGTATTTATTAATGCACTGTATGCATTTTTTCCTCCTACATAATTTAATAAAAAAAGGAGTGCATCCAGTGTAATTCACTAAAGAAGTGTACTAGATCCAAATCCTTAATTTCATTGACAACTAGCAGGAAGTTCGATATATGAATGTTCTATATACTTCATTAACCCCTGAGAAATGGTGTTAGGTCGAGGAAGTTGAATCTGAACCGCTTATTACTGCGGAGAATGGAGCTTGCCTTCTGGGTGATGCTGCCCCTGCATGGAATTCAAACAAAGATTTTGAAGCATAAGTGTTATTTTATCTTATTTTGATTTAAAAATATCAAAATTAGTAGATACAATATCTGTTCTGGCGATGAAGATGTTGCTGGCACAGGTCTTCCATGTAATTCTATAGCAACGTAAAACGGTTTTTTATGTAAGACCAATTCTTTATAGGAAATACATTACTATATGGAAGTAATTTTGCATATTTTGTTCTGGCATTGCCAAGTAATCTTTAAACCCAAATCCACACTCACACTAACTTTATGATTTTCCTTCGTTAAAAATTAAAAAAACCCAGAAATGAAGGCTACATTAATACAATCAAGAGGGTGAGCTTCATGATTTTCGTTCCTTCGTTAAACATAGCTTGTTAAACTCTTGATTGTATAATGCAATAAATAATAACTCCAAACTAACATAGCTTGTTAAAATCTTAATCCCATTTGTTAAAATGCCAACTTAAATTGTTATTTTAAAGTACGTCAAGTTTTCAACTAGAAGCCTAAAGTGAACATGTTACTTTAGTAATGTTACATGTTAATTCAATAAATGAACTTGTTAACAATAGATTTTGTATATTCAATATTATTTTTTAACATGAATCATATTTGTTAAAACTCTAACTTATTATTTTCGTAATATTACTTATTAACTTAACAAAGAAACTTGTTAGCAACATATGTTACATATTCAATCTTATTGCTTTGCTACAACATGAAGTACGCTTGTTAATGTAGGAATTTGACTTGTCATTTTATTAATAATATATTGTTAATTGAGTGAAGGAGCTTGTTAATAATACATTTTGCACATTCAATATTATTTTGTAACATGATGCGGATTTGTTAAAACTATAACTTAACTTGTATTTTAATAACATTACTTGTTAATTCAACAAGAGAAAACATGTTAACAACACATGTTACATGTTAAATTCTATTTCCCTGTCACAACATGAAATGCACTGGTTAAAACAATAAATTAACTTGTTATTTACTAATGTTATCTTGTTAAATTTAATAAAGGAACTTGTGAACAGAACACTTTGCATATTCAATATTATTTTGAAACAACATAATTTGAATTTGTTAAAACCATCACTTAACTTGTTATTTCAATGATGTTATTTGTTAACTCAATAAAGAAACATGTTAACAAGAGACATGTTGCATATTCAATTTTATTGACTTGATCCAACATCAAGTGTACTTATTAAAATAGTAATTTAACTTGTCATTTTACTAATGTTATTTTATTAATTTAGAAAAGGAACTTGTTAATAGTGCATTTTACATATTTAATATTATTTTGTAACAATATGAAGCAGCCTTGTTAAAGTTGTAAGTTGTTCTAATGTTTATTTCAGAAAAGAAATTGTTACCAATACGAGTAATAGTAGTGGTAATATGAAATGGGTTCCTTAGAGTGCTAATAGACCAAAGAAACATACTAACAAGAAAGGACCTATGAAGAAATGGGTACCCAAAGTGAAATGATATTGTTTTGTAAGTATACCTCATTGTCTCAAAAAAGAAGAAATGGTATGTGGATAGTGGGTACTCAAGACATGTAACAGGAGATCAAAGCAAGTTTATTGAGCCGATTGACAAAGATAGAGGTCATGTGGTCCTTGGTGGGAATCAAAGATGAGAAATCACTAGCATTGACAAGGTTGGACAAGGATTAGAAGCAAAAATTAAATATGTCATATGTAATGTCCACCTGACATTACCAAATTACACACCAATACGCATAATCACAATCAGAGGTTACACAGACCTCTTGGAATCATCAAAATAATAAATAATAAACATTGAAAATGGTTTCTTTAAATAGTTTGGGATCCCAAAACCTTTTCAAAACCCTTAAAAATCATTTAAACATAGTTTATGCACTAAAAGCCTTTAAGTTGCATACTAGTCCCTAAATGTGAGAAATAAAGCCAAATAATCCATTCTAGAAAAAGAACCATGTGTTGTGAGTTGTGTCACATGCATTGTAACATGTGGTATAGAGCCATGAGCTCCCATTTCGTGTCATGCATCGTGGCATGTCACCATGTATTGCAGTACACATGACAGTTTTCTGCTTTCATGACAGTTCACAGATGCAAACTTTAGGTGTGCGCAGTTTTCACATATAATGTTCGATTTGAGTGATTCAAGAGCCCACATAAAGCTTATTTGATAAGTTACCTAATGAAATAAGTTTAGACATGATTTAATGCTCCATTATCAATTTAGATACCCATGTGTAAAAAGTTACTTTTCTTTAAAATCTAAACACCTAATGTGTTCAAACTTAACACATTATCTCATTAGACCACTTTAGACTTTGAAACCAAGTTCAAAAGAACCAATTACACCTGATTGCATAAAAATATCATTGCATTCACACATACATGTACATTTGGCCAATAAACTGCCCTTTTTCACATAATAGGGCCTATAATTCATAATTTCACATTCACCACTTACATAAACATTCCATATTTACTCTACTATCTTAGCTTATTAAGTCACATGTCACCACATTCACACATATCCGGGCTAAGATACACATATTCACCACACAAACACACTATCACATGCTAATACATCCTATGGCAACTTAACATCATTAAAGCATTTACATTACAAATTCATTACACAAACTTTGATCGTATAGCTACAGCCTCTACTATGCCTGTCCTGAATCTTTTCCTTTGCCTTGCTCACTATTCAGACTTGTAAAAGTGTAACCACGAGGTGAAATAATAATCTCAGTAACAGAATAACTCACAACAATTAACTAACATGCATAACTGTAACATCCTAATTTTCTAATCTTGTGATTAGTTTGTTAATTAGGGCTAAAGTGATAATTAGTAAGAGAATTGGATGGCTGCTTGATAATTTGACTTATTAGGATGTTGTATGGATAAATATAGATGGAAGGATGGTGTTTTGAGTTGAAAAAAGTGCGTGTGGTGAGGATTCTCCTTACTATGCCATGCACTGTGGCCTAAGCTATATGAGTCATGGCGGATGGACCAGAAAATGATTCCTTAAGTTGTGAAATTGAGGTGATTTCAGAAGAGAAAAATCAGAAACACACGAGAAGGAGAGGAGAGGAAGCTGAGGTGTGATAGGGCAAGCCTTTTTTGAGTATTGAAAGGCACTTTTGACTAGTAACTTATCGGGTAAGCTATGTATAATCCTTACCTTTCATTCTACCCAAATTTCTTTGAATATGAGTTATAGAAAAATTGAATCAAAAAATTTAAGAGGTTTAATTCTTACCTAATGGTAATAAAAAGATTCTCGAGAGTTAACTTAGAGATTTACGATTGGTTTAGAGCTTAACAATAGAGATTTGAACCTATAGGCTCAATTTGGCCCTAATTTAGTGAGAAATTGGGGTGGAAATTTGGTTTATTTGAAATGTGATCACTTGAAGTGATGTACAGTGATAATCGAGTGGTAATTAACTTAGACAGACTAACTAGAAAAGAATAGATGGCTAAATGTATCCATAAGTAGTAATTAAGTGTTTTTGGTCAATTAGACCAATTGACTAAATTGTGTCAATTATGTATAAATTGGCATATCGTGCATGTAAGTTGAGAAAGAAAGCTTATAGAGAGTTATAGTGGTAATTGAAATCCACAGGTAACCTTTCTTATAACAGAAGAGTTGAGGTAATCGAATAATTTTTTATGTTTGACTATTTATTGTAACTGTGTGTGAGCATGCTATGTAGTGCATGAAATTGTTTTAAACTAAGCATGTTTTGTAGTATTGTATGTTAATTTCATGAAAAGAAACTTTGGCTAAACAAGTAAATAAAATGGTGTAATTTGATATAAAATGTATATATGTGTATATATGGGTAAAGTGGTGATTGGGAGCCTGTGAATGGTTTAGAAAGCATGATCATAAGAGTGGGAGTTCACCTGTATGGAATATAGTAATAAGACCACATGGCATATCCTCCTTAATGCTCGATGAGGTGCAGTGTTGGATAATTATACCTCCTTAGTGCCTTTCGAGGTGTGGTGTTGGACATTGAGACTCCTTAGTCAATGTGATGTGATGCTGGAGTCAACGACACCTCATTGTGTGTATTAGGGGAAATCATAGTCTGAAAGTAAGATAGAACACCTTTGCCTATAGTCCAGAAGTGAGATAGAACACCTTTGTTGCGTGATTCTACCACTAAAGGTGAGCTTAGAGCCAATGATAGTGTATATTAGTCTAAGGCGAGTCTACAATTTCAATTCAAGGTGAGTTATAGGTTCGGTCAGTAGTGATCATGCTATATGTGAAAAAGTAGTGAAAAGCAGTGATTATAATGGTAAAAGTAGCGAGTTGAAATATGTGGATGTGATTTGGAATGAAACATATGTACATGTTATGTTTAACAATATATTATGCTATGTTTTCATATAGTTACATGTGATAGTTGATAGTAGTAATTTATTCTATTATTGAGATTATTATCTCACCCCCGTGGTTACATTTTTATAGGATAGAGTAGTGATTAGGGCAAGGGAAAAGAGTTCGGACTAGCTTAAGGTTGTTGAAGCCATGTGAACTTAGAGTACTGTGTAATGAACTAAAACTTTTTTGGTTAAGGTGTAAATGAGTTGCCATGGGGATTATCATGCATGTTTTGAATGTTTGAAGTGTTAAATAATGTGAATTTTAGTGAATTTTTAGCCCATGTGTGGAATTAGGTGATGAAATGAGTAATATGGGGCTAATATTGAGTTGTGATTGTATTGTGAATGTTTGAGTAGTGAATATGTGGTGAAAAGGCCAAGTACGCCTAATTATGTTAAATTGTGAAAATGTATGAAATGTGGAAATAGGCCATTGAGTAGCCAATTTGTGATATATGGATATATATGTGTTATAATATGGTCAATCAAGTGTGTTTGGAGTTAGTTTAAGGCTCAAGAGGTTTAATGAAACAAGGGGATGGATTTGAGTACTTGGGTGCATAAATTTTTAGAAAAAGTGACTTTTTACACTTAGGTGTCTAAATTTTGATCAAACCATTAGATTGTGTCCAAACCTTCATTAGTTAACTTATGAGATAAGCTTTATATAGGCAATTGAATCACTCTGATCGAATGTCCTAAGTGAAAATGGCGCACGTCGAAAGTTCATCATTTCTGTTGTTAAATGACAGTAGCAAATTCAAACTTGTGTGCTGCGGCGT